CACATGCAACAATTGACTTCAGTAGCTTGCTTTTTTAAAGAAAAAGACCTTACACTGTAGCTACTGAAAAGGTGCCATGCAAACACACCCCACTCATTTCCATCCAGCCCTGTTGTGGGGAATGATTTGCCTGTGACAGCTGGTAATAGACAGTTTTTTGTGTTGCAAGAAGGGCAGAGAAGTAATAATTGAAAATGTTATTGTTCACCAAGCAATTTGAGCTTGGAAAGGAAGTGAAGCACTTTTATTCCAAGGCATTCATCCCAAGGCCATATTGAGGGAATTGCCCTGGACTGGTGATCTGACACCCAAGAAAGGAATGGCCTCTTCTTCTGGAGCTTGCTAGCTGCCCGTGCTGAGTGATGTTGGCATTCACTGGCAGCAGAGTGCAACTGGGAACCACCTAGAGCAGACTGGAAAGATGGGGAACCCACAGCCGTGTGGCCCGAGGGATAATTGATTTAGTCTGTGGAGAGGGAACATTTGCTGCTCCATGATCTGCTGCCAAGGGAATGCACAGGCCAAATGATGTGCCAGCTGGCAGGCTCTGGAGGGAGAGGCAGAGCAGGCAAACGGGGAGACTGTTGGGATTTGGGGTAGCTATGTGCAGCTGCAGGACAGGCTCTGTCTCTTCAGCAGTCTGGCTGTGTGGTGCACTGGGTGGAAACCATCTGACTCCTTTCATCATACCCTCTTGCAGGCTCCACATGTCATTCACATGCGAGCTGGGGTGAAAATGGGAGAGGCTTCCTTGCAGGACACTATAATCCTTGATGGCCTTACAGATGCTTTTTATCAGTATCATATGGGTATAACAGGTAAGCGATGGCAGCCCAGAAAATGAAATAGGTAACTGGTGAGGGGGAATTCGCTTACAGGAAATTTCAGAAATCTGAAGTTACAAATAAGGTGTTTCAAGTTGTCCTTAAGTTGTAGACATGAAAAAAGAAATCCCTAATACAGAAAGGCATCGAAGGCATTTTCTGTTTTGTTTGTAAAGCTACTGTTTTGGGTTTTTTTTCTGAGGTAGTCTCTTTGCATCTCTTCTATTGCTGAGCAATTTCATTTTGGAAAAAATTAAACAGAATTGTCCCCGTATGTACCTGGAGCATTCAACAACACAGATTTACAGTGGGAGGGAATTACGTAAAGTGTCCTGTGGATAAACATGACTCTGCAACTTCAGGTTATTGCACCCTGGATGGGCTATTCAGCCAACTGCTTTTTCAGACCCTGCATATGAAACAGGGCAACTTCAAACTGTTCCTTCTTCTGAAGTAGCTGTAGTGAGATCTGAGCATAGTAATCCAGAGAAATAATGAACTAGGAAAGCATGTTTGCATTTGTATTTAATTTGATATAACCTCTGGGAGGAGATTCCACACAGAAATTTTCACCCTTCAGAGAAAATATAGTAGAGTATCCCAAGCAAACAAAATGAGGAAATTGGAATGGAAACAGTTCAACGAGCTCAGCTGCTTGCTGCAGCAAACATTAATGGCTGCATTGGTGCTTAAAATTTTACAGCTTAAAATTTTGGCATTTCCTTGATAGCAGTTTGCATTTTGGTCTTATTTCAGCTGAAAATGTGGCCAGTCAGTGGAAAGTCAGCAGAGGGGAACAAGACCAATTGGCTCTACAGTCACAAAACAGGGCAGAGGCAGCACAGAAAGCTGGCTATTTTACAAAAGAAATTGTTCCTGTGCTTGTACCTTCTAAAAAAGGTAAGTGTGAATGGATAATGAGAGAGATTTTAAAGAAAAACATCTGTTTTCTACTATGTCTCCTATAGTCAGTGGATGGTTTTCCACTTACACAGCCTTTCTGTAAGCATGTGGCTTCTTTTTCAGCTTTCAGTGGTTATTTTTTAACTAAGAGAGAAGCAATGCAAATGTGGAATATCTCAATGTACCTCTATGCATATCCTACCACTGTGTTTTATTGGAGATAATTACTACCTAGACTTGACATAGGCTTGGGTATGGTACCAAAATCAGTATTTTTCGTTTTGTTAGACTCCTGCTGCACCAAACAGTCACGCTGATCTGGCAAGCTTTGCCCACTTAGTGATATACACAGTGACAATAATTAGGATTGCTATTTAAGTAACTAGGTGAGGTTACGTTTATTAGGTGTACTTCTCTTTAGGTCTGTTACGGTGCTTGAGCCAAAGGTCTGTTTTCTAGAGCAAGGGAATTCCCCAGCTCCTCGAGAGGTAGATGCAAAACCTGAATTTTCCGAAAAGAAATCAAGAATCAGTTCTTCAGCATTTACATTGAATAGACCCTGCAGAAGAAGTCTTGGCATTAGGCCAGGTACAAACTAATGAAGGGCTGTCAAGGGCTGTCATGATACCAGTTTAGATAATAATATTTAATGAAACTTGACTACTCTTAGCAAAAAGATTGCTACAAGTATAATTTGAAAGGTAGCCTTCTGCTGGAAGAGAGGGTATTGGGCTAGGAACAGCAAGGGCAAGAATGGCTCTTGTACAATCAGCCAGTATTTCAGTTGTTAGTGTTTGTCTTGGGAAACCTGAGCTGTCTGCCCTGCTAGAAGGAGCTGGAGTGTTACAGCAATTTGTTAAGTTGCACTGAGTTGGACATAAGAATGGCTTGTTGCTTAAAAGGAATATAGTGTATTCCTGCTCAGCCTGTTGTTTGTGCCAGGTTTCTGTTCAACACTTCTGTGTCTGTGTGTGTATGATTAGACCCTCCTGTGAGCATAATGCTCTGTTTTGCAGGTCCAATAGAAGTCAAAACAGACGAACACCCTCGACATGGGAGCAACTTGGAAACAATGGCAAAATTAAAGCCCTGTTTCCTGACAGATGGAACTGGGACAGTAACAGCAGCTAATGCTTCAGGTTGGTCCATCTGGCTAAAATGAAATGGAAAAGAACAGTAGCTGCTTGTGGCTGCAGGCAGGGTCTCTGTGAGGGGCTTGGCTGCTGTGTGATTACTGCTGAATGTATTTTGCAGGAAATGGCAATGTGTTTGACAATGTAGGTAGAACTCGATTGCAGATATTGTTTACAGATGAGTTGTCTTTTGTTTGCTGGTTCTCTGTCAGACATTACAAGTGTTTGTACAATAGCAGCAATATATGATAGGCTGGAATGAATAGAAACTGTATCCTTTCTTTTTAAAACTAGCTGTCTGTTGGTTTCTGGTCTGCAGGTCTGGACAATGGAAAACTTAACCATTCATGTTTGAAAATGTTCCCCTGTGGGACTGCCACAGGTGGTTTTGAAACTTCTTCCTTGGTCCTTACAGTGCCTCTTCCAAAGTCTGCCAAATAAATGTGATGTGCTGCTTCTTCAGATTTTGTCTCAATTCTTCCACCTGCTGCTTTCCACATAGAACCCACAAATGTGCTGCATTTACTGCAGTATAGATCTGTTACTCTTTTAAGTGTTCATGTCAGAGATCACACTTGGCTGATCTGAACAATACTGACCTAAACTGATAAAATTTTTGTCTAGATTGTGAACTGATGTAAGCAGGAAAAAGTGGTACAGCTAAAGCCATAAAGCCCAACAAATACATACAAGTTGTTTGTCATTCCACAGGTCTAAACGACGGAGCTGCAGCTGTAATTCTAATGAAGAAGTCGGAAGCTGCAAGGAGAGGTCTTATGCCTTTGGCTCGGATTGTTTCTTGGGCTCAGACAGGTATAGATCCATCTATCATGGGAGTAGGGCCGATTTCAGCAATAAAACAAGCTGTAAGTAATCACCTGTTTATCTACATATCTATTGTTTTAAAACTGTTGTTTGTAATCGTTTTGCATTTTCTGGCCATGTCTTGATTTTTCTAAGGAAAACTTAGTAGAAAAATAAACTAAGTGAAAACAAGACTTAAAAAAGTGGAGACTATGTAAGACTAAGATTGCCAGTGCCTGTTAGTTGGAAATAACCCCAAATGTATAGATGTGTGGAGTTTAGAACACAAACTAGTCAGGTATGTGGAAGGGCACCTAGATATCCTAGGAGGCTAAAGATCAAATTTCAGGGATGTGTATACTAACATAATTTGTGGATGATCTGGTCCTGCCACAATAGGGTTCTGATGCTGTGTCTGGCCAGGTTAATTGTCAGATCATTGCCTGATTGTATTTGTGGTAGTACAACACAGAGAAGGGCCAGTGAGTGCGTCTGGGTCTGCAGATGTGACAGTGGCCTTCGTGTTTCAGTTTGTCCTGTGAAAGGGTTGGAGCGTGCAAATTGTATTCCTTTCAGATGAAACTAAACTAGAAAGTGCACTCCAAAACCACTTCTAACATGCTGAGGCCAGTCCTGTACCGACTCATGTGCTCAGTGCTCAGCCCAAAGGACAAGGCTCTCAAATAAAGTGCCCCAGTAGTACCACACTGCATGCTAATAGATGTAGCCCATGGCAACCCCAGCTGATTTTTTGTTAAAACTGAGCTATGAAATTGAGCATGAAAAGAGCTCTTGTACAGCTAAGAACAGATTTGCTTTAGTATTCCTTCTTAGGTTTTTTTTTTTAAATACTGTGTAAAGGCCTTATTTCGTTCACCTCTGAAATGTCCTGGCAACACAGAAGCCTAAGCTGAACTCCCCCAAGCTCTGTGGCTTTTGACAAGGAAACCAGAACTATAATGCTGAAGCATTTTCTTTTTGGATCTTAAACTGTTCTTTTCAATCAAGAATGCTAGAAATGTAGATACAATACACATTGATCATTTAAATGTAGAACAGATAAGCTATATTTAACTTTGTAATGTGTGTTACCAAATGCTTCACACCTTCCATGTGTTACCAGTTTACCTCTTCAGGATTTTAATAGTAGCACTTTCAAGTGAGAGAATGGCTAGGTTATGCATTTTAGCGGTACAACAACATAATGTATCTTAACCTTCTCCCAGAAGGAGAACAGTTTCTCTATTGTCTCTAATATATCTAGTAGAAAGAGGTCCTCCTTGACTATAGCCTTGGAAGTGCCCCAGGCCTGGCCAGCCTAGTTGTGAAACATCATTGGTGCAGCTGATTCTGCTGATAAAGCATTGCTGTTAGAAACAAAGTGAGTGGAAGTTAAAACCTAAATACATGAAACACGCCTAAGCCTGTACCAGAGTAGGCAATTGCACCACAAGAGTTTCTCAAGGGAAAACATGAGTCAAAACACCTCCCAAAAGAGTCACCTGTCAAAAGCTGTAAGTGGCGACTTGAACCTGAAGGGAGGAGAGATTGGACAAATCACACGTGACATCGATCAGTAATGGTCAACATGTCACTACTTCTTGTGTAAAAGTCTCTACTAAGCAGCAAATCACTAATGGAGTCAGACTATGTCCTGAAAATCTTGCTTTTAATCTGTTAAAGCCTACTTTTGTATCCTGGGCATGTTCTAGCAGGGGCACCACGTAACAGTTTGATTCCAGTTGCACCACCATGACTAGCTAGGTGTTTAAATTTAGTCAAGATTTTTATGAGCAGCCAGCATGTTACAGCACATTCTATTGCCTTTTGCTGACACTGAAAGTTTGCCTGTAGTGTTTCAAGAATTCTGTCAACCCTGGCTATAAAAATGCTGTTTTCCTTCGACTTTTTAGAAGTGGTATCTTTCAATCACCCAATTTAAATTTTATGAAAAGTTTCCTCTGGTGCCAAGGAAGACTTAAAATATAATAAGCTGCTATTTGTGTTGTTTTCTCAGATTGACAAAGCCAGCTGGACTCTGGAACAAGTTGACCTGTTTGAAATTAATGAAGCCTTTGCATCACTATCTGTTGCAATAGCAAAAGAACTTAAAGTAAATCCAGAAAAGGTAATTAATGTATTTGCAGGCTGGAATTAGTTTGCATCCTGTAATTCAAACTTGCCCTCTTGCTATCACTTCGTTGTAAGCAAAAGGATGAGCAGCTCAGAAGGCATTTCCTCACACTGCTCTGCCATCAGCTGCCTTTGCTAGCAGCCACAATTTCCAAACTGAGCAGGTTACTACTTGGCTGTAGTTGATTTTTATGCAAATCTAGGCAAGTGCTTGAGCATAATTAATTAATTCTTGCTGCTGGAAGTATATTTACCATGGTATTCTTCCAGTGATAAGTGTGGGTATTATTCTCTTCTCCCTAAATTTGCCTCAATTATCTTCTAAGAGTAAGGATGGACTTCTTGTGATACTGATTAACAACTGTTGCACCCATGTGCATTTTCACCTTGAAGTGGTGTTTGTGGTTTCAGACTCACTCGTAATCAAGGACTGTATATCCAGTGAAGTCATTCATGCAAGTCAGCTAAGCGCTCTTGACTGTCTCTTGGCTTCTTTTTTTTTAGATTAACATCCATGGTGGAGCTATTGCTCTTGGCCACCCTCTTGGTGCCTCTGGTTGTCGCATCCTGGTAACTCTTCTCCATGCGCTGGAACGAACAGGTGGAAAACGTGGTGTTGCTGCTCTGTGTATAGGAGGAGGAATGGGAATAGCCATGTGTGTTGAGAGATGAACAGGAGTGAATGAACAAAGAGCTAGTGGTAACTAGCTTTGAAATGTTTTACTAATAAACTTCTAATCATGGAACTTTTTTGACTATATAATTAAGCTCAACACACCATTACTTTTTGCTGCTCAATCACTGCCTTGACAAAAAGACCAGTGGTTACTGCAGGCACTCAAGTTAACATACCCTAGAGCTTAAAATCCCAGTGCAAGGGCCAGCCCTGCTTCCAAAAATTAGTTTGTTCACAAGAAAATAGCAGCAACATTCAACCACTTGTTTTATTAACATTTTAGTTACAAGAGTGGGAAGTGTAAGTTAAACAAACATAAATAAAGCCTAAGTTATTCTTCAAGTGCTCCAGACTGAACTGCATCCTCATAGCACCCTCTCTCTTCTTTAGTTTCAGGGTGCAGTTTAATAAGATCATCAATTCGAAGAATAGTAATTGCAGCTTCTGTTGCAAACTTCAGGCTCTTAGTTTTGACCATGGTCGGTTCAAAGACACCAGCCTGCTTGTTATCCCGAGGTTTTCCATTGATCAAGTCAAGACCAATCCTGCACAGAAGAAATAGATGAAGAGGTAGAAAAAGTAGAGATACAGTTGGGAGTCTGCTGTGTAATTATTACTAGGTTGCAATGTGACTGACGTAGGACTGAACAGCAGAGACACAAGAGTTCAGTGGTAACATACACCCTTTTTTTTTTTTTTTTACATGCAAATTATGGTTCAGTCAACTAGGAGAACATTTTCCATCTGAGTCACGAACCCACTTCCCCTTTAAGAGTCTAAGAGATGGATACTTGCCACTTCAGATTCTTGCGATCTGGGTTAACTTGAGCCTCGTTGTGGAATGCTCTCAACTTTGCAACAAGGTCTGTCGCATCCTGAGCGGCATTTACTGCCAGAGTATTTGGAATTACTAAGAGGGATCTTGCAAATTCTGCTATTGCAAGTTGTTCACGTGATCCCTAGAGAAAGGACAAAGTTTTTAGACGAACTGCTGGAACAAGAGAGGAATAAAATGCAGGCATCACCAAGAACATCAACTGCAGGGGGTTTTAACATGCAAACACATTAGGTTTGGGTCAAAGAACATATAGTCTGATTATCAGAGGAAAAATAACTCATACCCTCCGTTTTAAAGACACATCTTACATTCTTTAAGATTATTAGGTTTGCATGAACCACCCAAATGACTTCTAGGGGATGAAAATAAATGCTTAAAAGTTCTTTGTCCTAGTCTAACACCTACACACTGTTGCTTCTTTGTGCAAGACTTACCATGCTGGTTGCATAATTTTCAAGATATATTGAAAGTGCTGCCTCAACAGCACCACCACCTGGGACAACAGACTTGGACTCCAAAACCCTTTTGACCACACAGAGAGCATCATGTATAGATCGTTCCATTTCATCGCACATGAAGTCATTAGCCCCTCGTAAGATAATCGAGGCTGAAGTACGAGCCTTTGTGCTGGGGGAAAGGAATCACAGGTCAGCTGTGTTAACAGAATCCAAATTACAACTCTTCTGGCTAAAATTTTTCTTCTAAAGCCAAGTTCAGTTAAGCCACATTCAACACTGAGAAGAGAATCTTAACATTATCATACATCCTTGCAGGATATGTACATTGCAATATTTTAGTATCTAGTATGCAAGAACCTAGTTTGAGTTTTAGTTTGACAAAGTATGACAACAATGTGTTTTCCCATGAAATAGGGGGAAGCGCACTTAGGGACAAATTAAGTTTTCTTTTGCACAGCCATCAAGTAAGCTAATGACTGTCATTGTTACAGTATAAGCTGTCATCATGTGCCATGCTCAGAGCATTTAATTCACACACAAATGAGCCACCAGGAAGGTGAACACTGGGAACAGATATTTGAAGCAATTGAAAAGTTACTATCTAAGGTATGCTTTGTTAAAAACTGATATTGATACAAACTAGTAACTGAAGTTTTCAGGTACCAGACAGCAGGGGCATACTAAAAACTGCAAGGGAAAAGACCATGCATGTGGACAGTTATTAACTGCTGCTCTTCTTACCTACTGAACAAACACCACCAACAAAACCAGCACACTTTTAACACTAATGGTCCATTTCATACTACCAAGGGATGACTGCCTAAATGAAACCAGCACAAGTAAACACTATCTTCCACTATAAATGGAAAGGTTTAGGCTGCACCTCTTTGTTCAGGTTAGGGTTAGGGTTAGTGTCTATAAAAGGAGACCAGTTTAGAAACAAAATTTCAAGCCAAGTCTGTCTGGCAATCTGACTATCTCATACATTAGGGTTGATGAAACATGTGTCCAGCCCCAGCAAAAGAGATAAAATACCGATACCTTTGTATTTCATTTGCACTGGATTTGTATGTTCTTTCCCCATGCACTTAACTACTCATACACCACTGAAATAGCATGGAAGTAAATAAATGGGATTTTGTCTCAAACTAAGTTGAAGTATACACACAACTGAGTGTTTTTAAGTGGATGCTTACTTCTTGATTAAAATCAGCTCATCATCACAGATTCTCTCTTGAATCACCTCTTCTGCCTGTCCCAACATTAATGCCTCAAAACTCTCCTCACCTTCAAGGTTTGCAAGGGTTGAACATATGGTTGCTTTAACAAACAAACAAAAAAGTGAAATTAGCATTCAATTCCAGAAGGTCCTGTGCCAAATTCCCAGAACAAGCATGCAGAAAGAAAAACAGAAATTGAAAACATAAATAAAAGCTGCATTAAGTAAATTTTTTCTTACATTCAACAGCACTTGTAATTCTCAGGCAGCAATTCAATACTCCAGTTTATAATTGATCCTGCTCTTTTTTTGCCCAACCACTTACTTTTCCATAGCTACTACAAGCTCCTGTGCTTTACCACCATGAAAATGCTTTCTTCCAAATTTAAGAATTGACAGATCAAAATCTACACAGAATGTTTTGAAGTATCTATTTAGTGATTTAGGAGTTCTTCACTTGTCTTGGGACTATCTAAATAACACACTTAACTGTCTAAACAGAGGCTTATGAATGCAAGGATAATAAAGACTTCTGAATAAATAAAGCTTATGGTTCCCATTTCCACAAGAGGCCAGATCTTGCCAGTGCAAAGCAGCTTTTTTCCTTCCTCACCAAATCATCAGCAATCAACTCTTACAGTAGTCACCTACTTTGACAGAAGTCATTTAAATGCAACAGTGAAGTTAAAATAGTGGCCCAGCTTTACTCATCCTGACCCTGCATGTTGTGAAAATTAGTTAGTAATACCCTAAGAACAGTTTTTACTTTAGGAAGTCACCGAATCCAGAAGTTATGTTCTATACACATACCTCCGGATGCCTTAGCAATCCGCTTAAGGTCCTTTTTTACAACTCTTCGCACTGCCATAGCCCCAGCATCAACGAAGTATTTCAGACACATATCATCAATACCTCCAGTGGTCAGAATAACATTGGCACCAGTGGCCAAAATCTTCTGGATCCTCTCTTTGGTAATATCTGACTCTCTGCAAAGGTAAAGTCGAAGTTATAAAAATATATTTAATAATCTACCATTACATCCTGTCAGTCCATTTCCTGAATATTTGGGAGAGGTTAACACTTCAGGCATTTTTACCTCTTGCGCTCAGCCAAAATTACATCGAGCCACCTGAACTGAAGAGACCAAACCAAGCCTGTGACACCCCACTGCCTCAGTTACTCAACCTTCCACGCACCTCTGCCTTATCTGGTCCAGCTTCTCGGGGTCTGAGATAACAACCTGAACACCAAGCTTCATTTTTGCTTTCTGCAGGCTGAAATCAAGGCATGCAATCTTTGCATTAACTATTCTCTTGGTCATACCTAATGAGAAAGAACAAGACAGAAAAAAGGATTTTGTCAAATCAATTAATAACATCAAGTTAGCAACAGAGATTGAAACTAATGTTACTTTCACATTTCAGATTTCTACTGTTTGCTTCTCCACCTGTAGTTCTGCCCTAGTGCAGAAAAATGCTAATTAACACCTTCCTGTAACATGTTACCTTTTCACATTCCTTGTGCTCAAATTGTGAACGACCGTAACAATCTGACCTAACATAGCACAGCACTGCTAAATGTACCAGATGCCAACAAACCTGGCACCAGCTCCCCACGAGGGAGGAGGCGCTTAAGTTCTGCCAGACCACAGTGTTACTGTGCAGACACTGAGCCAGGGAAACTATAGTAACTTAGCAACACTTTTTGTGGATCACTACTACCTGGCAGATCCTAGTCTAGAACAAACACACCAGCAAAGTGGAAATATTCTGTGTTCTTCTTTAATTGCTCTGGAATTGAAAACCCACATGACTTGCAACTAATGCAGTCAGTAAGAAGACTCAGAGTGCACAGGAAAGCTTTAAGAACCACAGCCCGTCCTTACCCTGTGAGCCCACCACGCAGTTCAGCGCGTAACCGTTGACGAGGATGCTCTCCTTCTGGCTGCGGCCGTGTGCCTTCAAAACGTTAACTGAGTTGATTGGGTACCGAGCCTGACCCTTCTGGTCTGTGTATTTAACTGCCAGTGCAGCATCCACCACCATATTAGCAAAGAAATCACCATCACTGAAATGCTGTCAAGGTTAAAACTGAAGAACAAAGCTACCATTACACTTAAAAAACCCCAACAAAAGTCACTGACAATGCCCAAACTAAGTTTCCAAGATAGAACTTCAGCAAAGCATGCAAGTGCTAGCTCTCTTTACCTTAAAGGAATGAGAAATTCTAGAAGCTTGAAACACTGGTAAGAAAATTGTATGACAGGCTATAGCACGATGCCTGAATTTTATGCACCTTTTGTTCCTTGAGAAAAATTCCTATCCTATGCCCAGTCTGCACAAAAGCTAAAAATGCAGTTTATTCTGTGACTATGGAGCAAAACACAACTTTCTTTCCTCTAGATTCACTCCCCAGGTACTTTTTTAACACACACTTCCATTCACACAACTCTTGATCTAGTCTCACTAACAAGCAACGCAACTGCTAGGAAACAATACACTGTTAAAACTACTGTTATGTGCCAACTCAGAAAATAAAGAGTTTAAAT